TTCACTATGAAATCACTTTAATCCTACATCTTGCTTTAACATTTGGCACAACAACAAATCCACCTCATAGCAGGATGGATTTTAAAATCTGAAGGCTAAACCAGATTTGTCCTCAAAAAGGCACAAATCACTGCAGCAACAAAACAATAACCTGAGGATACTCTTGGTAATGCTAGTTTTATCCTATGACTTGAGATTTTTGTTCAAAAACAGAAGTTGGTCAACATGGTTTGAGCTTAGTACACTTCTCTGTGCTGTTACGATATCGCCTGCCGTAGAGAAAACACGCTCCGAGGAGACACTAGTCCCTGGAATGCACAGGTACACTTTGGCAAGGTGTGACATTAGTCGATATTCATTCTGGTGCTCTTTCCACCAACTGAGTGGACTTCCCTCAGCAAGAGACAGGGGTGGTGCCTCCTTGTACCTTGACATCTCCTCTTCTGCCTGGGCTTGTGTGGTTCTGTTTCTCACCGCAGGACATGCACTGTAAGTTGAACCAAGCAGATCAGCCAAACAGCACAAGTCCTTTTTCTTCTTGGGTGGTGGCGGGCTGGCAGGAATGTCATCCTTGTCTTCCACATGATTGTCCTCTTTTCCTGGTATCCCTTCAGCCTCTTCCTATAATGCAAAATACAGATTTGTTATCAATAAACCCATAGTTAATTCAATAAGGAGCATATTCAAAGACGTATAATAGTTAGTTTGCCTTTTATTTAATGCGATGAACTGACAAACCTTTACAATATATTGTTTTGCTAATATAGTGCTTTACATGAAGTACATGTTTCGTTTTTTAAGCTCTAACATACTATTATGAATTTGAAATTATGAACTGAATATTTTGTTTTATTACACTTGGTGTATATATATATATATATATATATGTGTGTGTTTTTTTTAATGTGTTTTAACCATGTAATGTTAATGACACAGTGAAAGGGCTTACCTGAAATAGTTCTTGAATTCTTTGAGCTTCTGCAGTAATTCTCAAATATATTTCCTCTCGTTCATCATCAGGAAGGAAGGGCAAAGCTTTGAATCTTGGATCGAGTGCTGAACATACATACATGGTCGCTTTTTGCTGATCCATGTACCTCTTGCTCAAATCTTGGCAAATAGCCGCTTTGATTTCTTTCACTATCTCACTATCTGCTCTGTTCTCTTGGAAATCCTGGATGAGCTGAGCATGAAGATGGGCCACAACAGACAGTGTTGGAGAGCTTTCTTTTGACATTACAAGAGTAGCAATCTTCATGGGCTTCATTGCATCCACTATCTCCTCCGCAGATGTAATGTCCGACTCGCATAGGGTGCAAACTTCTTTCTCGGTTTTCCTAAGCTCGTTGGACAGAAGAGCAGCGGAGACAGCGGGTTGCTGCTCAAGAAAGCGCTCGAGCATGTCATGTGCGCTATTCCAGCGCGTCACAACATCAGTGATCAGTTTATGTTCAGGCAACTCAAGCAACTTCTGCTTCTGTCGAAGTACGTGGCTGGCTGTGGTACTGCGCTTAAAAAAGGTGGAGATGCGTCTAACACGTCCCAATAAACGAGCGACAGCAGGAAGCTTCAGTGCACGCTGCGAGGCCAGGTTTAAAGTGTGAGCAAAACACCTGAAATGCAACATACCGGCAAGTTCCGCTGCGACGCTCATATTTGCGGCGTTGTCAGTGACAATAGCCGGTGTAACGCCGAGATACACTGTCTTGAAGAGATGCACTGCCTCAGCTGTTTATGATGTAATGCAAACCTGCGCATGCGCGTCTCACGGCAGCCGAAGCATACCAAGATGGCGGACCGTGAATTGATAAAAGTTGAAATACGAACGAATCAAGACACGAATGTCACTTTTAATGCAATTTGAGGCGAGATGTTGATGGTCCCGTTTTGTCACATGTGGGTTTTAAGAGTCAAAGTTTCGTGCAAAGTTTAGTTTAAGCAGTCAACTGCGCCTGTGAAACCACAAAGCTAATGTTTTCATAGCAGCCTCCGCGGCTGCTGACGTAGGCTGATGACGCGTCCTGTGGCCACTCTACACTCTTACACTGGTCTGTCGGGTTGATAATGGAAAATGGGGAAAAAAATCAATCTAATTAAATATTTTGTTTGAACACACTATTGTTAATCATATTAAATACAGTACGATACATGCATTGAATGAAATTTATTATTTCCATTATCAACCCGACAGACCAGTGTAAGAGTGTAGTGGCCACAGGACGCGTCATCAGCCTACGTCAGCAGCCGGGGACTGCTATGAAAACATTAGCTTTGTGGTTTCACAGGCGCAGTTGACTGCTTAAACTAAACTTTGCACAAGACTTTGACTCTTAATACCCACATGTGACAAAACGGAACCATTAACATCTCGCCTCAAATTGCATTAAAAGTGACATTCGTGTCTTAATTCGTTCATATTTCAACTTTTAAAGCAATTCACGGTCCGCCATCTTGGTATGCTTCGGTTGCCGTGAGACGCGCATGCGCAGGTTTGCATTACATCATAAACAGCTGAGGCAGTGCATCTCTTCAAGACAGTGTATCTCGGCGTTACACCGGGTCTTTGGATACGAGGTCCCACTCCTCCAGCGCCGCTTTAAGTAACTCCGCAATGTTTGACCCCGTATGGCTCTGGTGCATGGCTCGCGTTTGTAAAACGTGCGACATCAGTTCCCACTCCTCGTTAATGTAATGGCAAGTGATTGTAACAAAGGCTTCCGTGGCTCGCGATGTCCACCCGTCACAAGTCAGTGCCACTCGTGGGGCAGAACTCAGGGTTGACTTAACATTGTCTTTGACTTTGTCATACATTCTCGGTACTGCTTTGTCGGTCATGTAGCTGCGGGTTGGGATCACATAACGGGGATCTAACGTGTTGATCATAAAGCGAAAGCCTGTGTTTTCGACAACACTGTAGGGACATAAACCTTTGCAAATATAATGCACCACAGACTCCGTAATCTTCTGTGCACGGACTGAGTTAGATGGAAGCTTGGATGTTGCGCTGTCCAAAGTAGTTTGCGTGGGGTCCCGTGTTTTTTAGGGCTGCGGCGAAGCTAGCTTGTCTGCATGGTGTCTTTGCAGGTGGGCGCGCAGGTTAGTTGTATTACCGGTGTGGCGTATAGAAGCCTGGCAATGCTTGCAGATTGCATTTGTTTTATCGATCCCTTGGTTTCCTTCCTTTGCTTTAAAACCAAAATGTGTCCAAACATCTGCCTTTAGGGACAACGGCGCTTCTAAAATCTTCGACATTTTCTATGAGTTTTTTCTTTTCTTTTCTTCTTCTTCTCTTAGCGTGTTTTGAAACTCGCGGGCGCTGCTGCGCCCCCTAATGGCTGGGCGGAGTATCGATACTAAGGGCTAGAATATCGATACTGTATCTTTTTTTTTTATATCGGTATGTATCTAAGAATCGATATTTTGAGCACACCCCTAGTTTTCTGCGGGGGGCGCGCAGGAGGAGGCCCCCGCTCCAGAGAACGCCCCCGGTTTGGGACCTCAGGGTGGTCCTTAGGGGGCTGTCGGGTCCGCCTTTTGAACCGGCGGCGGAGGCGAGTCCCGAGTGTGTCGCTTTTAAGACGGCCCTCTTGTTGGCGTTGGCGTCTGCTAAGAGGGCGGGCGACTTGTGTGCGCTCTCTGTCCATGCGTCTTACCTGTCCTTTGGAGAGGGCAACGGCATGGTGGAATTGTGGCCCAATCCGGCTTTTCTCCCTAAGGTCATCACGTCGGCTTTTAGGTCGAGAGTCATCAGGATTAGGGCTTTCTATCCGCCACCGCATGCCTCCCCCGAGGAGGAGCGGCGGCACCTTCTGTGTCCTGTCAGAATGCTGAGGCATTACCTGGCCATGACGTCGTCATTCAGGTTGGGTGGTCAGCTGTTTGTGTGTCTGGGCCCCAAGAACAGGGGCGCCCCGCTGTCGGCTCAGCGGCTGGCGCACTGGGTCGCCACGGCTGTGCGGCGGGCGTATCAGACGCAGGGTCTGGTCCCCCCGGTGGGCTTCAGGTCGCATTCCACGCGTGGGATGGCGGCCTCTACGGCCCTTCTCAGGGGGGCGTCGGTCGAGGACGTGTGCCGTGCGGCTTCTTGGGCGTCGTCCTCCTCTTTCGTCCGGTCTTATCTTTTGGATGTGTCGGACCGGTCGGTGGCCCATTCCGTGATGAGTGCAGCGGACTGAGTTAGACCGTTAGGTCCCTCCTCTGAGGGGGCCTTCGGTTTACTTTCCGCCCTGGTTCAGGAGCTCTTGGGAGAGGCATCCTACAGGTGCGGTACATATATGTGTGTTTGGTCGGTCAGGTATTCCACGTCAGGAGCCCTTGGGAGAGGCGTCCTGTGACTACGGATGACCTACATCTGTGTTACGTGGGGGTATCCTTGGCAACACGTATCCTTGGTAACACGCATTGTTTCTTCTGCCCTGAGTCCTCTCACTGTGTGAGGGTCTTGCTCGGGCGGAGCTCCATTCACCCTTCGCTGGCCTGCTGGGAGTACATGTTCCTACGGCCTCCGCGTTGTGTCCCACTAGCGAAGTCCTAAGGGACGTAGCACCCTGACGTAGAATTAATAGTTACCTAATGTAACTTAAGTTCTACGAATAGGTGCGTAGTCCCTTAGCTACGAGCCCATCAGGCCAGTCCGGCTTGGCAGAGTTCAAGAGGGGGTGCGGCCTTGTGCAGGGGCCTTTATAGAGGAGGGTGGCTGGTGATTGGAGCAAATTATTTTGATCTCTCTGGCGTGTGACCTGGGGGTCACGAGTGATATCCCACTAGCGAAGTCCTAAGGGACTACGCACCTATTCGTAGAACTTAAGTTACATTAGGTAACTATTAATTACAGCCCTAATACAAATAAGCTTGCCTTGCCTAAATAGCAGCGGCACGTCACCAAACCATGCCCAGCGCCTCTAGGGGTTATTGTCACGAGTCCACACCAACACACATTCATTTCAATTACCCGTGGCGCAGACCTCCACTCCCAGCGAGTAACACTGAGCAAACTATACCTGCAGATAGTCTTTAGATCGGCCATCGTGTCCTCGTCAATGCCCATTTCTGTGACAAAGTTGGCGTCAAAAGCCTCCTCGTCTGGGGGCTCGTAAGAATACTGATCAGGCTGCAGCCGCTTGAGCCACTCTGTCCGGAAAGTGTCAATATGAAAAGGCTTAGTGTTTATATCAAGGACTTCATATTCCGGAATATTTGTTTTGGCTTCACACGCCGCCATGTTGGTTTGACGTCGGATTCCGGCGAGGAGTTGAGTCGCGAGCGCCTCCTGTGTGAAGGAGAATACTTCCGGTACGATCCAACAGTCGATTTATAGAAATGTGATGTACAAGTACTTATAATAAGGTGTCAATATCGTACAAATATATTAGAAACATTTAAAAATAGATTATAGATCAATGATATATAATGATATTAACCTCAGTATTTTAGTATTTTTTATGTTTGTCAGCTGAAATATTCCCAACAAACTCCTAAACAAGTGTGGTTAAAATATAGTTATACATGATTATATTTAGAAATATTTGGACGCTCAAAGAAGCTTCACATAATTCATTCACTCCGTACACGGTGGTGATATATCAGCTACCTTGGGGCACACTGACAGAAGCGAGGGAACCAGTATGTGCCATTGGCCCCTATGACCACCATCCACCATTCATGTAAAAACCAGACTTAAATTAGGCAATGTGGGCTAAGTGTCTTTGTTAATCCCATACCTGGGCGCGTAACAGTCTTGTCAAAGGACACAGCAACAATTCGGCACTTTACAGCCAGAGCCTGAGACCCCATAACAAGTTATAATTGATTTAGTAATAACCCTCTCAAAATGTCTGCGTCATATCCAGACAGTATATGGTCAGGACCAGTTTTGACTCCAAGCTCACACAAAAAAATGTTTTGAAAGATGATTAAAAAGGGGTCATTGATTATAATCAGAATCATTTTTATTGCCATGATGTAAGTCAGTAACAGGAAGTCACAGACTAGGAAATTGTGTTGGCTCGATAAGACGTGAATCCCTCCTGGACCTCCCCTAGATAATTCTCAATTTTCACAAGGTTTTATTTAGTGGTTTCTTGGAAAATTAAGACCGCATGTTGTGATGTCATTTATTCACAATATTTCATTTTTTACTTTTTATGTCGGGCCATCAAATGTGTTTGGTTTATGAAAACAAATGTACCCAAGGTTTAGTTGAGATTTGTTTCGTCAATTGGCCACGAGATGTCTCTAAAGACACCAGCTGAAAGAAATGCAAAATCAGAGCTGCGTCCAAATTCAGCAAACAAAAATCTTCCTTGTACTTTCTTGAAGAAATACATTTTTACGAGACAGGCAGCTCCAGTTTGGTGAAGTTAAATTTATTACATTTTAAAGTTGTTTTTAATGCCACAAAGGTCAAAATAAACGAGAAGCAAGAGCAAGAAAGGATATGAAAGGAGGTTTGTATTTTTAAACAATGAGGATGCAGCCCCCATCTGACGTTTGTAATCTATCTTTACTCAGAAATGTACTTTTCTTCTGCGATGCGCTGACACGTTTATAGCCAAAAGACGTTTCGTAGGTTAGACTAGACGTTTTTTTTAGAAGTCCTAGTAAGATGTTTCCCTCCTCCCTAAACAATTTTACACTTGCGCCAATACAATCAAGCATTTTGTTAAAAGGCTGTAATAGTGGTGGGTTTGGCTGCTGAACTTTAAGCCACTCCCGAGATTCAACCTTATAAATGTCCCTGAATCCTCTATGTCTGTGTTCAAAGAACACTTGGGAATTTGAAGAGACCAGCATCACGCGTATTATTATTCCCAACACAGACAGCAGATAATGGACACCAAGGTGGATACGTTGGAACAGGTACTTATCATACATTATTATTTTTATTTGTCTGTACATTTTTTAGCAGTTGCCCAGATATATTTTCTTGCGTGTCTGATTTGTTGAGGGCTGTCAGATTACACCAGATCAAAACCATTGGTCCCTGTTCTTACTATTTATGGAAAAAAAGAGGAATAAGGCAAAATTATGCTTAATGCAGTGTTCCCCAACATTTTTGAGCCATGGCACATCTTTGTCATCTTTTTTTTTTTTTACGTACGTAAAACATCACATTGTATTGATGTGATGTTAGATTGACACATTGAGATTGAGAAAAATATAAACAATATAAAAGATTATATTTTTTTTAATTGTTGACCCAAACCCAGATGTGTCCCAGATTTGAAATGTATATACATTTTACTTTTTATCTAGTCACCCTAACATTGATATAATGGGAAAACATGCGATCTAAAATAAATGTGCACAAATCAAATATGATCTATTATTCTTAAACGTCTTTGCAATGGAAAATGCTGCTGCTGTTTGTATTTAATACAGGATCAAGATATTTTGCACACAAATTATATACATTTTTATAAACAGTTCATTTTAATGTCAAATTCCTTATCTGAAGTATTGCTACCATCAGCCCATGCAGTCGAGCACTGGATATCAGAACATCCTCTGCTGAGCTCAGTGACGGTGGAAAACCGCCCAAACACTGGAAAAAGTCTTCTTCTTCTCAATAGTGTCTTCAATGTGAAAGAACTTGTTAAATAGTAACATGTAAGGACTTTTTCATGGTATGATTTTTAGGTGGATCTTATAACATCTGAAAATGAGAAGTAAGTATTATTTTAATGTTTTATAGAAATAATTGCAAATATTGTCTGATCAGCATAAAAAATGTATAATGTTTGTAGAACAACGCACATGGACTTGGGGACTGCACTGAAGGAATGCTCCACTGCCTTGGAATATTTTCTCAACAACCGTTTTACTGATGCCCTGTCTCTTTTAAAACCATGGCAAGTTGTCATTGATGTAGTGAAATGTTTCAGAAGAATATCATTGTCAATCTCGTACCTGTTATAGGAAAGAGCAGAGCATGTATCATGCCATGGGCTACAGCAGCATCCTGGTGATGCAGGCAGGCATGACCTTTGAACCCAAAGACATGGACGCTGCCATGACCTCTTTGAGAGACGCTTTGCAGACATGTCAGCGGTAAGTCCCAGATACCATGTATTTTTTCAAATTATTGTGTATTTATTCATCTATATCTGTGCTTTGATTTTAGTTTCAGGAAGAAAGCTGGATTAGTCGAGACTCTTACAAGTTTTTTGTACAGACAACAGCCATCTGACAACCTCACAGAAGGTAACTTATTATGACTGCAAATGTTCACAATTCCTTATGTGTGTGGCTAATGTTAGCTTTTGAAGCCGGAGTACTTTATTGTTCTGTACTTCATTAGCTCTCTATAGTTTGGTTATATCACTTGTTATCACATCCATGTATTTTTGTAAAAAAAAAAAAAGCGGATCGTCCTCACCAAATTATCTCTTGGCCCAAAGTGTGGTCTTTTATGATGAAGGCCTCATGTTGCAGTCTGATTCTGTTAACAACATTTTGATAATACAAGACTTAGTCTGTTTGCACAAACAATGTATTATTTGTGATCCAATAAGAGTACTACAGCTTTAAATTTTAGTATGTTTTTAAAATTATGAAAATTTACAAATATTGACCTGCTCATTTGAAAACTGAAACTTTACAGAGGAGATGCATGCAGAGTTGTGCTATGCTGAGGTTCTGCTCCAGAAGGCTGCGTTGACCTTTTTAGATGAGAGTATAATTGGATTCATCAAAGGGGGCATGCGGATACGAAACAGTTATCAGATTTTTAAGTGAGTCATTTCACTTGATATTTCAAAGTGCTTGCTTTCTGAATGTTAAAGACACTTTGTTCTGGAATATTAAGAGAATGCCAAGCCATCATAAACGTCAGGAATGGGGAAAAGCTGGAGAGTACACATGTCCATTTTAAGAGTGGCGTCAGTATGGGCATCGGCTCTTTTAACTTGGTAAGTGGCCACATGCAGAAATATGGTCCAGTTATACAAAATGCTGAGTCCTCTCCATGTGTCTTTGTCAGATGCTGTCTTTACTTCCGTCTAGAGTCCTACGACTGATGGAGTTTTTAGGCTTTTCTGGAGACAGAGTACGGCGCCTACTGCTTATTTTCTTTTTATAACTGTTGGTACTTTTTACACTTTGAATGGGATTGACCTTGAATGTCATTTCCCAGGAGCTTGGTTTATCAGAGCTGAGGGAAGGTGCGGCCAGCAACAGCCTGCGCTCCATCCTGTGCACTCTCACCCTGATGATGTTTCATCTTTACATCACCGTTATTCTAGGTATGAGGCTCAGTGTGGGAATGGAACTACAGTTTAATTATATCTAAATGTCATGTGTCCCGGTGCAGGAACTGGAGATGGCAACCTCACTGAATCTGAATCTTTGCTCCAACCTTATGTCAAGAAGTTTCCAAACGTAAGTGAATGTACAGTATTAGACAATCCTATATCCAACAGGACTGAGTTACCTTAGTTACAGTCTTTCCACAAATTAAAATATATGTTGATCTGTTTAATTCTTTTTTTCAATTATGATTAAATTATATATTATTATATAACTAAATTATTTATTTAAAATGCATAGGAGATCCTTAACATTCAGAGCCACAGTAGGTTTGAAAACCCTGTTTGATTGTGTCACTACTTTTGTCGTATTGCAAATTAACTTTCTTCTAACCCACAGGGAGCTCTCATGCTTTTTTACTCTGCCAGAATTGCTCTTCTTAAAGGAGATTTCACTCTAGTAAGTGCTATGAACTGGTCAGTTTTCCATGCAATTTTTGTATTATTAGAGTGCTTATGTCTCGTGATCCCCACTAGGCTCAGGAGAAGTTCTTGGCTTGCATTGCCGCACAAGAAGAGTGGCGTCAGATCCATCACTTATGCTCTTGGGAGCTCATGTGGGCTTACTGCTTCGAACAGAACTGGAGGGAGGCGTATCGGTACGCTGATATACTTTGTAAAGAGAGCAAATGGTCACAGGTTTGTAGACAGTCTATCGTCTGTTTGACTAAAATAAAGAGTTGTAATATATGGGTTTGTTTGTAGGCTGTCTATACATTTTTAAAAGCTGCAATCTTGAGTATGCTCCCAGAGGAGGAAGTGACTAAAATGGGAGAGAATGTGGAAGAATTATTCAGGTAAAGATGTTGGCTGAATAAGGCTTCATGAGCTTGTACTTAATTTCGGATATGGTTTGTACTTTGTAGACAAGTGGATGGATTCAGGATGAGAATAGCTGGGAAGTCAATTCCAACAGAAAAGTTTGCTGCAAAGAAAGCTGATCGATACAATTCCCCTAACCCTGTGAAACTTGTTGTGCCAGCATTGGTGAGGAGACCACCAGTCTAATATTCAACCAATATTCAACCAAATGGTAATTGCCAGTACTGACTAAATGTTTAACTTTACACAGGAAATGATTTATGTGTGGAATGGATTCACAGTAGTGGGAAAAAGACCTGATCTCACTCAAAGCTTCCTGAGCACCTTGACCTCTGCAGAACAGGATCTCAAAGAATCCCAAAGTGAGATCAGCAACAAGAGGAACTGTGGTATGGTTTGACAAACTATTTACAGTACTCTAATGTGTGTGTGTGTGTGTGTGTGTGCATGCGCAGATCCTTCACAATACCACTTAGATGACCTGTGTGTGCTCCAGCTGCTCAAAGGCCTTTGCCTCAGAGAGTTGGGACAACTATCTCAGGCTGAGCAGTGCTTCAATCAAGTCATATCAAGGTATGCACTTGCACAGCATATCCTTCTCATTCACCAGAGCAGACTGCAGAGGATTTAAATATAACATTTGTATACTGCAGTGAAGGTGAAATAAAGTTCAACAACTACCTTGTGCCATACACCATGTACGAAATGGGCCTGTTGCACAAGCAGAGGGGTGACCATGACAAGGCCATTGAGATAATGGAAAATGTCAAGTATGTACTGAAATCAACTTTTGTATTAAATTCTCACCTTTTTAAATATAAAATTTTTATTTATTTATTTTTATTATTTTTTTACAGGGCAAACTACAAAGACTACAGTATGGAGTCGAGGTTGCACTTCCGCATCCATGCTGCACTCAACACAATGGGAACATTTACAGCCAAACTGCCTCCTTCACGTACGCCGGCCTGAATCACTGTCGGGATTATAAATCAAACGTGTCGTTCTGTGCAGTGTCACATTATACTATGTAAACAACAATATCTAATGTATTTGTACAAAACAAACTGAAATATATGTAAAGTGTGAAAGTAACATAACCATGTGTATTAGATAACTTATTATGAATTGATTATTTTAAATGATATGGAATTGAAAATAAAGGCTCTTATCAAATGATGAACATGTGTATTTGATAGTAAAAAGGAACGTTTCAGAACACAAGGAAATAAGTAAATGTTTTTTGTTGTTGTATCAACTCCCTCTGTCTGCTGTCGTTGTGTCCTTGGCAAGACACTTAACCTCTGGGAACACCAGCCACAGTGGGGCGGCTGCGGCTGTAAAGTGCCAAACTGCCGTTGTGTCCTTAGGCAAGACACTTCACCCCCATTGCCTAGAATGAGTCTGGTGTGTGTGTGTGTGTGAATGGTTGGTGGTGGTCGGAGGGGCCGATGGCAAATACTGGTTGCCTCGTTTCTGTCAGTGTGCCCCAGGGCAGCTGTGGCTACAGTAGAAGTTTATCACCACTGCGTTTGGAGTGTTCAAAAAAGCGCTATATAAAACCGATGCATTATATTACTGAATGTACAGAGTCCAGAACTGATGAGGTCACAGACCTCGTTCTTAAGTTTTGCACAATTTACAACACACATTTTTAAAACACTAAACGGTTTATGACCAGATTGACTTATTTAGACTTTATTGATCCACAAGGGAAATTGCATTGCATAGTATTCCACAATAAAAATAACTATAAAGTAACAATCTGAAAATAATAATATATTTATGAGAATAGAATAATCTGGATATAGGTACTCAGGAATATACATATCTGTGAATATGAACACATTTACAGTATAAAATAGAGATAATAGGATACGAGTCATCTGCTAATATACAATATATACAAGGACAAAGCAGATAAACTTGAAGTCTGTTTAGATGAATGTGTTATCTGTCACAGAGCGGTGACTTGTTGTACAGCACGATGGAGTGTGGCATGAACGTGCTCTTGTGCCTCTCACTGTGGCTCACTGAAAACATTGTTCACTTAATATTCTAAGAATATTTGCTCTGTGTACCTTGCAGAAGTGTTGGTCCACTTTATGGTTGCTTTGTGACAGCTCAAATGTCATAAATCACAACTAGGACCTATCATTCCAAATACAATGTCAAACTAGGATAAAATTGCAAAATCTTAAAGGAGACATATTATGCAAAGTCGACTTTGAGCTTCACAACATTGTTCCCTCATCAAAAATGTCTCAGTCCTCAGATTTCTAAGTTATACATTATAGTCCCCATTGAGGTAACATCTCCAGATGATGAGGCTTCGCCAGGGCTACCAGACCTGGAGGATTATACCTATTGAACAGTGGAGGAAACCTGCATAGACATGCAAACTTCACTCAGAAAGGCTCCTCTGGACTATATTTCAATTCAGGACCTTCTTGCTGAGCAGCGAGAGTGCTAACCACTCAGTCATTTTATTGCCCTTTAAAACAAAAATGTTTTAAAAGCCTGTCTGCCATTTAACACATAACATATATTAGTTTTGGCAATTTCTCAAATCAAATGGCCCTTGTTACTTGCCGCAAGTTGGAAAAGAAGTTGCATTTGAGTTTGCAAATGCCACTCCTCCTTCTGGTGGAAATATAGAGAATTACAGGCAGATTTTTTTCTCCGTTCATACTTTTGTGTCATTTTCTACTTATGATAGTTTCACACTCTAAAAGAGAAAATCAGAAGATAAAACGTTCATTTTTGAACTTTTCATTTTGGATGGACAAATAATGTACAATGTGTATGTAATTGTAATGTTCATACGCGTGAACTAATCCTATACATTTTACCCGCCAGTGCTGACAACATAAGGACTTTATTCCTCCCTCATCAAAATAATACTTGTTATAATATAATAAAAATAATACTTCTAATAACTATAGACTGCAATAACACATTCAGCATGTGCAGATTTGTGTTTACGGTGACGATACTGACCACGTGGTGTGCTGGGTCAGCTGACTCCGCTGGGGGAGGAAGAGGAGAGAAGATGGAAGGCAACAGGGACGAGGCGGACAAATGCATCAACATCGCGACAAGGGCACTCGATGCAGGAGACAAAGAAAAAGCTGTGAAGTTTCTCCACAAAGCAGAGAAGCTGTTTCCAACTAACAAAGCCAAAGGTAAGGCTTTTAAGGCTGATTGCTCAGCTGAATCATGTCATGCATCGAGTTAGCCTAGCATTACTACTAGCATTAGAACTACACTTGTCTGCTCTGCCTCCGCTTTTGATAAGCTTAGGGTTATTCAAAATCTCAGATGTTTTTTTTAATATCTTCATTATGACAGCCCACTGTGCATGTTAACAGTTGGCTGGTGTGTAAACATGGACCTGGATTCATTCTAAAAGTCCACCCAAAACAACGTCTGTGTCTAGCTCTACCTAGCTTATCATTTTACTTTTTCATAAATACGACAGGGTTGTTTGTCCCTCGAGAAACTGCATGTGATAAAATCAGACCAACACATGCTGTCATGAGAAATTATGCAATCTTGTGTATACCATGGATCTGGTGTATACTTGTAGAAACTGGTGAATCACGCTTAAGGCTGTGAGCTGATTGGTTGAGTGTGTTTCTCTCCATATCTTTACTGTCTGAAAAGGCTGATCAAACTAACTGTTTTGAAAGTGAGAAATTGGTTAGATGGATTTTGTTTTTTTTGCTTTTTTTTTACTTTAAAAGTTTCAATGAAAAAAGTTATACTGTTCAAAGATTCAGGACACGTGTTTGGACTGAGCAAGCTGCAGTTTAATCCTTTAATTTAATTGAAATGATTCCTAGACAGAGTGTCACTTAATGTCAGTCCCAAACACTTGCTTTCGGACATTACCCTGAATTAGGGCTGGGCAATAAATCAAATTTAGGCAATTAATCAGATTATGAAAAAATCGAATTTGTGAAAAATGTGAAAATCATGAAATCGATTGAAGGATATTGTGAGAGTTCCAGCAGCACATAGATTATACTTTCAATATCAGCACAGTCTGTACAAGACTTTTATAATACATATTGGTGGAAACAAATTGAAAATAGTTTTGAAACTTGAATATTGAGCGGAAAGAGCAAAACACATTTTTGTAAGCAACGTCTTTCTTTGGTGAGTTTAATGAAAATCGATTTAAAATCGAAATCGTCCAAAGCAGGAAACAAAATCAAGGTTTTACTTTTTTGCCGTATCGCCCAGCCCTACCCTGAAGACTGTTCATTTCTTCTGTGATGATCTTCCAGGTATCTGTATGAACTGCCATTGAACTTTTGGTCACACTGTTGCAAAACCGTGATAGCAGTTCCTGATTGTGTCCTTCATTGTGCTCCTCTAGATTTGTTGGATGCTTTGTTGAAGAATGGGAGCTCGGCAGGAAATGGCGCTTATCGCAGGAGACCAGATCCTCATTCACAAAGCGCAGATGCACAGTCAGAAAGGGAGAACCAGCCAACGGGCGGGCAGGAGTCAAAGGGCTTCACCAAGGAGCAGGTGGAGGGTGTTCAAAGGTGAGGGTTGGAGTTCATCTACGAGAGCTTTCTGTTGGTGCAACTGACAAAATTTTATAGTTGTGCCGAGCTAAGCTGTCCATGTCAGGGTTTCCTCCAGAAGGGGGGATGGGGGGGATCAGTCCCCCCCTAGCCATGGCCCTAGGGGGGGATATCCCCCCCTCAATTTTCTTACACATGCATGTATACAATTCTCACATCATAAAGTGCAAAAACATTATTTTCATTGGGATATATCTGACCTGGCTCGTTGTCTAATCTATAATCTAAAACATGATAGTAAAAAAATTACATACAAACACCAAATCAGAAACTTCCGTACAGGTAACATTTTTTATTCTTTATTCTGAATCGGAGTCTCCTCAGATGAATATCGGTTCTCTTTGCGCGGTCTTGCAGATTTATTTGTAGCATGATTTTCACTGTATATGAACTTGCAATGTTCATCCTGATTGGCTAAGGAAGAACCAGCATAATGTGTTCTGCGTCCTGATTGGCTAAGGGGTAATCTCTGTGCCGTGTTTCCTGTACATCACAGTATTCACACCAGAGGGGGCGGGTTTCGGCTCAAAAGTGGCCAAAATGACGTGCGCTGACATGCTTGCAATACCACCCCGGGCCGATGGGGGTGGACCCAGAAGAAGAATTAGCCAATGCTAACATATAGCATTGGCAGACCTCTCGAAAACGTCTTTACAGTATGGACCAAAAGTTGGCTCTTGGCCCAAAGCTCCGTTCCACATGTGTGTCAATGCTGAGGGGGGTGTTTTGGTCCACTCTAGTTTACTTGCTGTGAATTTTTGAAGTCTCTCGTTCAAATGAATTGAGCTGCGCCGGCTGACGCATGCGCAGATGCGTTTTTTCACAATTTTCTTGTGGGCGGGACCACTCGCGGCCATTTTGGATAGCTCCAGTAGAGCACAATTTTTGGCCCATTTGTTAGAACGGCGGAGATAGGCGTGACTCTGTCCATTAATATATATATAGTCTATGGTTGTAAACAGGAACACTGAAACAGTACTTAAACCAAACTTTACACGAACATTTGACTCTTAAAACACACACATATAACAACATAGAACCATCAACATCTCGCCTCAAATTGCGCTAAAAGTGACATCCGTGTCTTAATACGTTTGTATTTACACTTTTAAAACGATTCGCTGACTTTATGTCCGCCATCTTGGATTCCTTTCGCTGCTGTGTCAGACACTGCTTGAGAAGGCGGTGCAAGCCCTATGTAACACCGATCCTGATTGGTCAATTATTTTCTGATCTGCTGAAGGAGTTTGGTATGGCGTGGATCCCAGACCCATGTGGTTCAGCCAAACGCCTCTGGTGAAGCATGGCAGAACTACACGGGTCTGGCAGAGCCAGGCTGACAAAAGTATGCTTCTGACTTCAAATAAAGCTAACTGTCATGTGATACTAGCAGTTATATGATGCTGAAGCACACTCAAAAATCATCTGTGAAAAGACGGTGCTGTGAACAGTCAATCATATATTGATGAAGTATATGGACTTCTGAACGACATTATAAGTTTCCATGTTTCACTTCTACATTATCATACTTAAATATATTTTCTAGGGTTGTTTTTATCCGATTATTGCTTGGAATGTTTCAGATTAGGATTAGGTAAGAAATGAGTTTTTTTCGCAAGCTATCTTGTGAATAAGATAAAGCTTCACATTCATAGATGACCACTTTTTCTTGTAATTGCAGCTTTGTTTTTCTTTGTTTGAATGATTAGTTAATCATTAAAGTAATTCACATTTGCTGTACTTTGTTAAAGCTGGGATAGGTCATTTTTGTTATTGTCCCAACTGAGTCTTCAAATGTTGTGAACAAATCAGACCACATGTTGTCTTCACCTTTATTAGAAAACATGTTGTCTTTTACGTTCCTGAAAGAAAGAGCCCTGTCACTATTTGACACTTTGGGTTGAGAGTGAGGTTTCTGAGTGACGGTTAACTTCTTTCACTTTTCTGTCTGAAGAAAAAAAAAAGTTTAGATGTGACAAATAGAATTTGAGGTGCCTCAGGTGAACCTCCAGACTGATTATGATTAAGCCATTCACTTGTTACAGCCCTATTTCAGTGGTTTTTCTATTTTTAATTCAGTTTCTATGTTTGGGTGACTATGAGCCCATCTTCTCTGTGTGTTTGCGGTTGTGTGGATTACAATCTCTGCTGAAATATTACGTCAGCGGAGCATATAGATATTTTTCCTCTGCCCCAATATTCATTTCACCCTCTCAACACATGGTTTGATTTGTTCTCTAAGTAAGCTCTTGAATAAGAACTACGAGAGTTTCTTCTGCAGTGAAGGAAATTTTATTTTGGATCAAGATTCCAGTTAGTTTCAGATTTAAGATGGTTTAAGATGAGGCTTATGACCCAGGGGGACGGGGCCCCTCTGGCGGATCCCAGGCTATGGAGCACTCGGTAAGACTGATGCCACTGTGTACGGAGTGAATGATGCCGTTTGGAGCAGCTTTATAAATTTATATAAAACCAATGCGTTAATATTATTCTTATGGAAGTCAAATTTTGGTGATGACAAGGCATGTGTTTACGTTTGTATTTCAGGATAAAGCGGTGTAAGGACTACTATGACGTCCTCGGGGTCAGTAAAGATGCCAGTGAAGATGAGCTAAAGAGGGCTTATAGAAAACTTGCCCTGAAGTTTCATCCTGACAAAAATCATGCTCCTGGAGCCACTGACGCCTTCAAAAGTACATGTTGTTTTGAATGGGGATTATTCAAGTCTTAATTGTGTTTGCTTTACAACTATACCCACAGTCGTCTTCTATTGCTTCCTTAGAGATTGGAAACGCGTACGCCGTGCTTAGCAATGTGGACAAGCGTCGCCAGTATGACGTCTCTGGAGGGGAGGAGCCCAGCAGCCCCAGTCACACAAACGGCGGAGGCTTTGACTTCCACCGAGGCTTTGAAGCAGACATCACCCCAGAGGACCTTTTCAATATGTTCTTTGGAGGCGGCTTTCCTTCATGTTAGTAACAGAGTCGTTGACGGGATACGTGGTTAGCTTTTGTAATGAATTAGCACCACTGTTTTTATTTATTTCTCTCTCTCTACAGCAAGTACACACACTTTTAGCAACGGCAGATCTAGTTACAGTAATCACACCGATCGGCATGAAAGAACTAATGAACGAGGCGATGTAAGTATTGTGTGTATATATAATCATTGTTTCATACGGTTTTACTAAAAAGATTTAAACGTGAGAGGAACAGACCTAATTTCTTGTCTTGTTGATTCCTCAGGGTGGTTTCTCCATGTTCATTCAGCTGATGCCCATTGTAGTCCTTATTGTTGTGTCTGTGCTGAGCCAGATGATGGTTTCTCCTCCACCATACAGTCTGTATGCCCGGCCGTGAGTACACACATAACGATATTTAGAATCTCAAGGTGTTATTTAGAGCTGCACAATAATGGATAAAGTCTGATATGCAATGGTTTCTTTTCCCTACAAAAATGTTGTGTAAAAATCTAAAAATCTATAGTTATAAATGCTATGTAATTTCATTCAGAGCAGTTGTAAATTGGTTTATGCAAAAATAAATGAGGTAATTTCATTGCCGTAAAACAAAATGAAAGATTTGGGTTAAATCGAGTGAGCTTCTGTAACGCGCAAGATGGACAATGCAATCTTACTCCAACTCCCTCTAGCACTTGCATTGAAAAGTAAATTAGTTGTTGTTTGTTTCGCACTCACCAGTTTGGGCTTAAATCTGTGTTTTGACGCAATCCTGGTGTCTTTTATTTAAACTGTCTTTGTAGATGCCCCTGTTGCAACCATATCAGAACAAATTGGCACCCGCTACCTTCAATTCAAACTGGCTTCTGATGCATTCAGAAAACTCTCCTGGTCTCTCCTGAAGCCAAAGTTACACATCTCTGAACTGCAATGTTTTTTAATAATGTTGAACAAGGTTATCCACTTGATCAATCGTGCCTTCACTTGAGTTTGTGTGCTTGCTTTGGTAAATGTCGAAGCAGGACAGTTGCTCATTTAATGTCACATGTTGATAAGTCAAAGTAAACTAAGCATATTTGTGAAAGAAAGGCATAATTTTCATCAATTAATACAGTTTTTGGTTTTAAATCCTGCAACCAGACTGTTAATATACTTTTCATTCTCAGGTCAACAGGCCAAACTCTAAAACGGCAGACTGAAAACATGCGGGTCGACTATTATGTCACGGAAGATTTTAAATCCGAGTACAAGGGATCTGCGCTGCATCAGATAGAGAAAAGTGTGGAAGAGGACTACGTTTCAAATGTTAGAAATAATTGCTGGAAAGAGCGACAGACAAGTGAGTTTTTCTTCCACTGAGCATGCTCATTATCATTTCTTATCAATAAACTTTTATTTTTTGTTTTCTGCATTGCTCAGAAACCGACCTGCTGTACGCTGCTAAGGTCTACAGAGATGACCGCATGCGCAAGAAGGCGGAACTTATGACCATGGACAACTGCAAAGAGTTAGACAGATTAAATAATATTTTTAGGGGCGGGTGATCTGCAAAGACTAATGTGAAAGTGTATGTGAATAGATTTTTTTTTTTTTTTAACGTTATTTTTGTTTTGTTATTGTTTGTAAGAAAGTCTTAAATCTAGAAGCAAATACATAATGATATTATGTAGATCTGGTTACATAATTCAAATATACATTTTTCCTCTTACCTTCCATCAAGACTGGTAATATCTACTCTCACTGATGCTGTTTAACACTGTAGAGAGAGGGTTTTTCTAATATAGCTTTTTATGTGTTCTGAAGATGAGAACAGGACTTGGGACTGGTTTCTGAGGTGCTTTAGCGGAGGGAAATGTGGGGCATTGAAAGTATGCCAGGTTTGCTGTTATTTCGCACTCTACGCCCAGAAAGTAGAAGCAAGTCGTAAATATAACAGATATATCCCTTACAGTGGATCATTATATCAGTTTTCTGGGCTGTGTTCTTTATCTGTTAATGTACAAATGTTGTTTAGCGGCACTGAAAGAGAAAAAACTTGAATGCTTTCTGGCTTCCTCAAACTGAATGAAGACCCAATTTTTCATGCAAATCATTTTATATTTTCAAATTGTGTATAACTGGACATTTTTTTGTTTTTGCTATTTTATGAACTTATTTAAATAACTATTGAAGAACAATTTATTTAACGCTTGAATAATCATTTAAATAAAGTGAAAATTACTACATTATATCATACTTTTTTTTATGACATCACATGTGTGTTCGAGCAATGGCTGGGGTACCTAACTTTTTTCATTAATAAGTATTTGTGTGTCCTAACGGAAATAGTCTTGGAAAGTAAAATGTGAGCAAATCAGACCACATTGCCTTTTGCATTGTAAGAAAGAGTCCTGAGAGCTACTGTTTGACTCTTTGGGCGGAGAGTTGATCGACCCTGTGATTTTTATATTTGTCAAATAAAATAAGACAAGGCTGATAAATGTGCATGGTGAAACTAGATAGAACCAACCCTTTTTAGGAATTAGTTACATAGATTTACGACAGTAGCTCAGTTGGTAGAGCATTGGCCTTAAGGCCAGAAGGTCGTGGGTTCAATTCCCACCTCTGTACCTTCTCCACCGACTCCCACTGATGACTGCTGTCGTTGTGTCCTTGGGCAAGACACTTAACCCCACTTTGCCCAAAGCCCCCACTGAAAGATCAAGGCTATGCTCACACTCAGAGAGCAGCCGTCCTCCTGTGGACTCACCACCTGCAGAGGGTCAGTGAGGGGCTGGTGCTATGAGACTTGGGTGGCATCTCTGACTGCCACCCCCTGACCCAGAAATGGATTAAAGGGTAGAAAATGGATGGATGGATGGATGGATGGATGGATGCGAAAACAATACATACACACACAAAAACCAAAACTAAAATTACAACAAATATGTGTGCAATTAGGTTAGAGGTGACCTTATTAGCCAGGTTAGTTTAGAATTACTTAATTATAGACAACACGATATATAGTTAATACATTTTTAATTTCGCTTCAATCGCTAATATTACGTCATTGGTAGCTGGATTGGTCGCTGTCTACGTCACGTGACGGCCAAACCAGGAAGTGAAACACCGCTAAACATACGTGCATTTAAAGCACAGAATTACTTCCATGACAGGCAACTACAGATTGTTGTGGACAAATGAGAAACGCATCAAACCCTTGTTGGAATGTCCTTTAGAGGACTTTTAAATTATTATTTTTAAAGACTCGCAGTCTTGCGTGTTTCTGCGCTGTACGATGTGCCCAAACATTGGATCGAGTTATGTTTTTGTGCTGAGTTTGTGCTGCATTGGACTTCAAGGATATGCGTCTGCCTGTAAACACGAGCCAGAGACCCCAGACTGGAGAATGACTTTAAAAACGATTCGCAACGGCATCCACAAGATTGACTCCGTCCTGAATGCTGCCCTGGACTTGTTTGGGGGCGATGATGGCTTGTGTCACTACAGGTGCGCCGATGGTAAGGAAGGATTGTATTCACGTTTGACATTCTCAATAGTCGCTGTTGTTGATCATGGCTTTAAAGTAGCCCATTCAAGGAGCCTCAAGTATACATTTTAATGAGTGAATGTTCTTTTGTAGCCTGCTGTTATCTAAGTACAAGATAACCGGCACTGACACTCTTCACCACCTTTGCTCCTCTCACAGGGTACAAGCCAGCACCTCGCCCTGGGTACAAGCAGCCGCCTCCCAATGGATGTGGATCTCCACTCTTTGGCTTCCAGGTATTTTAATTTGACATTAGGGAGTTCCAGATGTGCTTGTATGTGTAACTAAGCAAAATCTGCATTGAAGCTTTGAACCAACAGTCAATCGCTTAATCAATACAAATGCTTATTTCAAAACCTGCACAAACATGAGTTAGCAGTACAAAAGAACACGCACAGATATGCATACATGACTTACAAATGGGTAAGATGAAGCAAAGTGGAAATCAAAAGAACTACTATTGGGAATACACTATTTTCTACACTTAATAATTGAATTGAATGGTGTGACACTGGCTTGGCAATTATACTGATCAATCTCTAGAATTAGAGGGGGAAAAATGTACTTTTACATTTAATTGTGCATATATAAGGCAAAGAGTGGAAGACAGGCTGACAGGTTTCCTCCAAGTGCTCCCGTTTCCCCTACCACGAAAAACATGTGGACATGTGGGGGCCGCTGTACTACAGAGACCACTGCTTTTGACAGGGGCTCTAGAGCAGGGGTTTCCAACCTGTAGCTTGGCAGCCACCAGTAGCTCTCCAAATTAGGTAAAAATCAAAGGAGAGAGAATTAAGCCCCCCTCCTCAGCCCCATGATTGAGTTCTCTCGATTATAAAGCATATCACACATTTTTATTTTATTGTGACTCTGCTTCTCTTTAACAAATCAAGAGCAATATCACTGCAGTGTTAAATATGTAATGTTTATAATACAATGAAATTGCTCTTGATTTTTGTTAACGCTGATTTTAAACTACAGTCGAACCTGGACAAAATCGCACAGACAAAGAGACATGCAACTATTTCAGTATACAATATATTTTAGCCACATATGACTCATTAAAATGAGTTTGTATTTTTGTATGTGCACTTGATTTCGCAAGATGACATTGCCGATAGTGGAAAGTACCAGACCTGGAATAATAAACTGACTGATTTGAAGTGGCTTCACTTGTGGCTTCACTCAACTCAATTTTCTCATTTTAGTTTGATATAGGCATTCCATCTATGACTAAATGCTGCAACCAGCACGATCGCTGCTACGATACCTGTGGCCGTGAAAAGCAAGTCTGTGATGAGCAGTTTCAAGATTGTCTGGAGACCATCTGCAGAAATGTGCAGAACACTCTTGGACTGGCCCAGAGTGTTCAGGGTAAACATGTTTACTATTAGGTTGACTGAGATATATTGTGATAAATGTTATTATTGAAACTTTTCCACAGATGATTTACAATAAAAAAATAGGTTTGTAATTGCAGAATGAAAATGTATTCCTCATCATCAAAACTTGAATATACAAAATTAAATCAAGCAATAGTTAGCTATGTAGATCTCAATTTGATTATATTTCATATGCATTAGCAGCATTCCTGCCGCTCATGTACAGACATTATGCAGACGGTAAATATTTAACCCTAAAATATTTTACCAGCCATACATTTTTTTAACAAAGTCGAGTTTGCATAGTCATTATTGCGACAAGCCGATGTGGCTCTAGGCAAGGCAAATTTATTTGTATAGCATATATTTTGTATTTTTTATAATTTAACCAAAGGACAAAGGCGGACATAGACTGCTTTATATTTGATTTAAATTCCTTTAGATTTTCCAGGAAATGGGATGAGCTCCATTTCATCACAGTGAGGTTACACATTGCCCACAAGAGGGCAAGCATGAGCATGTTTCTGACTAAAGATAAGAATTATAGCCTACTACTGGAGTGCTGTAGGACAACAACCAAAGAGTTACTATGTTGCATGTTTATGGTTGTTTGTTTTATTTAACCAAGTCCATAAGATGACACAAGAGTTTCAGTGCAGCAGTGGGATATTGTAACTCCATTGCCCTCTCCCTGCAGCATGTGAATCTGCCGTGACTCTGCTCTTCGACGCCGTCATGCACTTGGGCTGTAAACCGTACCTGGACAGCCAGCGAGAGTCTTGTGTGTGTCAGTACGAAATCAAGAAGGAGCTGTGAATCCAGTCTGCTGCTGTTTCCACTGCTTCCTGCTGGACATTGGACAACAGCCATTTTTTTATTATTGAATTGTGAATAACTCAGGAACTCAAACCCTTGAAGACAGTGTTTTTTAAGATTGACTATGAATAGGAAACAAATATTTCTATTTACATTAACTTATTCTTGTATTATGTTTATGGAGAATTTAAAAATAAAGAAAATGCCCAACTTGTGTGTGTGTGTGTATGGGCGGACGACTCAGTCCCTATTTACAGTGGAATTTCTACTGTCATCATTATTCGTTGTGCTCAAATCACTATAACACTCAAATTACTGTGAGAAGTATTCCAGTTTGAACTGTAAAAAATACTTTTTTCACAATATCTGCACTTTTTAGCATTTTTCTTATGTTCATGTCCTTAATGTTACGTTTAAAACACTACACAGAAAGACACAAAACGGATGAGCATGAACCACAAAGATTGTTCAAGAATATGGTTAACTGCTTCTAAGTATGATTGAGCCATACTTCTCCATTAGGATTTGAAAGAACTTTAAAATGTATTTTGCTCAGGGCCAAGGAGAACGTTCTTGTTTTCCAAAGCAGGCTAAAGACACATTTCTTTTTTACATATTAAACATTTTTATTATTATTTATTGTGCTATAGTGTTTTTGGTTTCACTTTTCAATATTTCACTTTTTATTGTATTGTTTTAGTATTCTTAGTGTTTCCTGGTCAGCTGTGGCTGTCGGTTTTTGGCTGATGGAGGGATCACTTTAAAGATACATTTTGAGATGTACATTTTTTGCATTGCATTGTATTTTTATGCACATGTGATACATGCCATTTGATACTAACCCTTAAGTATTTTACAATGATCATTTTCTCTACCGCTCTCCATGTATTTGCTAGTTCTTTATGCAACATTATATTAAATTATGTGTGATTAACGTTTAAAACATTTACGGGCTCATACATGCTTGACATAACAAGATTCAAGAGTCTCAGGAGAACTGACCGCTCCAGTCTTTTCACTTCCTTATTACGCTTATAAAGATAATAAAGTTAGGCATGGCTGCTGTAAAATCTCATATAAATCATATATATGACATGGACCACATCCAAATTCATGGATATACGTCCTTTCTCATCTTTTTTTCCGATTTTGTATTGACCTGGATGGCCTAAGTGGTGAAAGTCTCAAACAAACCAGATATTACATCTTTTCTAAAATGTGGAATGTAAAGCACAAGAAAAAAATATGTATGAGGTCATATTTGCTGAAATTGGATGCAGTCTGAGTAAAAACGCGGAAGTTTCGGTACAGTTGTTGTGAATTGACGTGCTCTTTACCCAATCGGCTGTAGCCATCGAGTTGGAGGGCGGGTCTTGTGAGCTGTGGGTGGTGCACAGTCACGCAGCCTCAGGGCAGTGGGTGTTCGGGTGAAAAGTTCCTGATGTCAGGTGAGACAGGAGAAGACTGCCAAGGTAACTCGTGTTTATGAACATTTAAACTTATGTAAAGTGCGAGATAACACGACATTACTTTATTGTAGACTATCATATTATAGATCCATGGTTGAAGCGTGTTTTGAGATATGCGCTCCCGTCATGCTGTTCGTGATAGTAGACTCGATAGATGCGTAATATTTGTGATTCTTTGTGTCCAGGCAGAGTGGACATGGACAGCGTGACCACTGTGGACAGTGCTGGTGAGTGGTCCTGCTCATTCTGTACACACTGAAGCTGTGTTGTGAAGTGTCAAAGTATATCAAAGTGAAACTCAGGTAGCCGACCCAGAGCTAAAAGGCTACTCCTACTTCTCCTACTGTTCGCCAAAGCTGGCAGGAACGATTTACGACTGCTCTTTGGCACTTGGAGGTAGGGGAGGGGTAGTAAAGTGCTGCGGAGAATGATCTTCATTTTTTTGGATTAGTGTACAGAATACTAAATATAATTTATGTAACGTATTCTGCTCCAGTCCAATCAGCTTACTGTATTCTGATTGCACAATATGATAAAATCACCATGTGAAAATCCATAATTTTCACTTAATGCTGTTTTAAGGATAAAACACATTCAAGTTCTCATTGTCATTATATTTGTTATAGAAGAATGTCTAAGACTAATTCCCTTAATAAAATTTGGCAATGTCTTTTTTGTTGAAAGATTGAATAACACCTTGAGAAAAAGTCTCTGTATTTTCCATTTCATATGTTCATTTCGTTCCAACACTTGTGATGCATGCGTTGCTACTTTAGGCATTGCTTTTAAATTGAATGTCCTTCCTGATGACACAATCCTGGGCTCTAATGAGGATAGTATTAGAATAGTCAAAAACAAAGCATTTGTTTACATACATCTATACAGCAATACACTGTCAAGTCACAACTCTGTGATGCATATATACGCTCCATAAATGTATGTTATGGCAAATGATGAAACCTAATGAGCCCAGTCCCCTGTGTACCACCCTTATCAGCTGGGTGGGGCAAGCAGGTGTAGCTTTTCTTTTGCATCTTTCTCCAGCTTTTAGCTGGCTATTGAGCGACACAAGGACTCTAAGCTGTAGAGACAAAGGCTGCTTGACCCCATACCATCAATTCTACTGCTGCTTCACAATAAGCAGAAAAAGCACAAGAGCGACAAAAAGCTCTGATACACCTTTCTCTGGTGCTCTGTGCAGTTCTTTGAATGTTTGTCAGAATATGTTTGAGGAAGTTATTCATGAATTGAATGATCGATCCTGAATAATAATAAAGGAGACATTCTGCAAAATCTACATTTTTGAGCTTTTAACCTTCCTCATCCTTTTAATCCTCATTAAAACAGACCAGAGTTGTTTTTAGCTTGATCCACCAGGAACGTCTGGCACAAACATGTATCTCTCCTGTCTAAAAGATCCTGTAATAGTATGACGTCATTGCACCATGACATCACACTCAGCAGTTTTCTGCCTCTTAAAATAAACGTTTTTATGAAAGGATGTTCTTTACAAGGCTGTATTTGCTGGCGGTAATTTTTTATTTTGGAAAAAAAGCCAAAATCTTCTACCCCTCTCGTGGTAGCATAAGGATAGGGCTGGCCGATAGCATTATTTACTCTTGATTCTTGTTTTACTAAATATTTTCTATAAACAATGTCATGTCACATTCTAAAACATCAAATGACATGAATGACTTGAATTTCCAAAAATGTGTAATATTTCTTCTTTAATGCTTAAAGCTAGCACAAAGAACATGACGGAGACGGATACAGCCTGGAGGTGAAAGACTTTCATAATCATTTACGTTATGTTAATTCTGTAACTATAGCTGGTGTTGATTCTGCAGAACTGGTCTGGATCCAGACGAGGAGTATAAAATGAGCAGCAAACGACGAGGGCTTGCAATTATTTTTAATCAAGAACACTTTTACTGGCGCCTGGGGATGAACATACGATCTGGAACCAACGCTGACCGATATAATTTAGAAAGAAGGTATTCGTTTTTGTATAACTGTGTTGTTTGAAGGCCTAATGGATCTTTGATCTTTTGTTTAAACAGACTAAAAGCCTTAAACTTTGATGTCAGGGTTTATGAGAATCACAAACAGATGGAGATCTTGGACATACTTTGTGAAGGTAGGCGTACTTACACTGGACAACTTTAATTCAGAGCTTAATGTTTTTCTCAATAGAAATGTAATTATGACTGCTTTAATTCATACAGCTGCAGAGTCCAATCACTCAGATGCAGACTGCTTTATGCTCATCTTTCTGAGCCATGGTGAGCAAGATCATATTTATGCATATGATGGCAAGATCAGAATTCAAGATATCACAGCCATGTTCAAAGGTGACAAGTGCAAGAGTCTGGTTGGAAAACCTAAAATCCTTATAATACAGGTCGGTTCTAACATCTAACAAGTCACAAAGTTACTATGCATGCTTTTGGTAAACCTCCATTGTCCTTGGGTCTGCTGTAGGCGTGTCGTGGAGACAAACATGACGTCCCCGTGAAGCCTTGTGACGCTGTGGACAATGTGATAAAGACCAATGAGGTTGTGGTGGATGCCAGTGCGGTCCACACGCTGCCTGCAGGGGCAGACTTCATCATGTGCTACTCTGTCGCTGAAGGTAGGACAGAGATTTTATTCTGTTTGCTTATCAAGACATTACATGTTATGTATCTTACTTATTTCTAAAGGTTATTACTCCCATCGAGAGACCATCAATGGATCTTGGTATATTCAGGATTTCTGTGAGCTGCTTCACAAGTATGGAGATTCTCTTGAGTTCACCGAGCTGCTCACACTAGTCAACAGGAAAGTGTCCATGAGGAGCGTTGGTCACTCCAACGATCGCACCGCCATTGGGAAGAAGCAGGTGCCTTGTTTTGCGTCTATGCTCACCAAAAAACTGTACTTTAGACCAACGCCTGCAGACAAGGAACCAGGAACCACATAATCATTCCAGTTTACTCAAAGCAGAGTATGACTCCAAAGTTAATTATAGAGTCTGTCTCCAGTCATTGAGGGATATGGTTTGGTAATGGTACTGACAATACATTGTATTTTTTATATTACCATGAGCAGGGTTAAGTCATATTACTTAATTGAATGTAAACTCACTTTTCCCAATATACTTTAAACATGTTTTTTGTAGAAGCATCAGTCCTAGTTAATGTTTGATTAAGAATAATTGACAAAAGGATTGTGAAAGTGATGGCATTTGTGTAATATGCTGTTGGAAAAAAGGGAATATTTGTACTATTATTGCTGCATGTGATGTATCCAGCTTGTTAAACAAATATGTCAACCACTAGAAAGTACCTCAGGGAATATTCATGTTTACTTGGTGCACGTTACACCACTTCAGGTAACACTCCTCCCTCAGGAAGACACGCCGCACCAGCACACAATTTCAAATGATGTTCATGAGTTTGTCTACATGAGATGAATCACTCAAATCTATATTATGTTTTCTGAGGACCAATGAAAAGTTTGACCAGGAGTGCTCCATGGTGCAATCACGATGTTTCCACTAAGATCCCATAGTCTCTCGATTGTGCTGAAACTGCTGCATCTACATTCTGTCATTAAATTTGATTACATAAACCATGTTTTTGCCTCTGAAGTTATGTGCAGACTAAGATTGACAAACGTAATAAACAAGTTTTCTTAAATGCTAAATATATAAATGGATACTAATAATTTTTATTGATTATAATTACAATGTAAATGAGCTTGATTTATGTAGCACCTTTTAGTCACAAAGCTCAGAACTGCTGTGGGCGTTTATGTCCTCACTACACAGTGATGGAGGCACATGCCAGAACTATTACTGTTTTTAGTGGTGGGAGAGAACGGAGCATCATGGAGAAACCTACGGGGAGAACTTAAACTCAACACAGAAAAGCCACATCAAAAGGTGGAATCGAACCTAGGACCTTCTTACTGTGAAGCACAAGCGCTAACAATGATGAACGTTTGAGTCTTTTATTCTGTGTATAATCAGAGTGTAAATAGCTGCGGCGTCAAATAGTGATTTTGATTTTTTTTTCGGACAAAGATTGGGGCTAAAATGTGGCCCTTTACTGCGCTGATGGTTTCAGTACAAATTTGAACTGTTCAAGAACCCAAATTTGAAGAATTAACACATGGACTTGTGATGAGGCCCTTTAAGTTGTGGCCTCTGTTCCCACTTACAAGTAATGAGTTAGAATGACCAACTGTTCCCCTTTCACAGCTGAGGAAATAAAGCAAAAAACCTGACAAGCCACATTTGAAATCCCCATTTACTTAATTTTGTATTTTCTGGTGTGAGTTTGATTTGACAAGAAATCGATTGATGGCTATATTTACTTTATTTATAGATCAGCTTGGACTGACTGTATGCACTATTGGATATTATTACTATTCCTTTAAAATATGGACCAATTGAATTTTAGTCTGAAATAAAGAAAAATTTGATCAATTATCAAAACAGATTTTCCTTCAGGCTCTTTCAAAATTTGACAGCCAATGGAGCGGTCTTGTTTCCCACTTCTCACCCTTTTCTACTTTTATAAAAAAAAACAAAACAGGCCAACAAATATGTAATTGTTGCTCATGGTAATTCTGCAATCGCTCTGTTTTAATGTAAATATTTTGATAAAGTATAAGTAAATTCATATAAAGCAGTTTTAGGTTGACAAATTGTGCCTTCAGAAAATTAGTTTTCCAATTGTCACATGGATAATGTAAGGAATATGAAAAACAGCCGAAAAGGAACTTGTTGGCTTTTTCAAAGACAAACGTCAAAGAAAATCATAAGACTGTAGAGGCAAAGCTATGTTTAGTATGCGCTATCTGGTGCTGCTGTTAACTTGCAGGTATCCATGGTAACACTTGGATATAAGTTTGTGGAGTTTAACATGTTAAATCATTGTCAATCATAAACCAACCATTAATCAACCAATCTACCATAAAACTTGAATCTTTGTATGGATAATAAGCACCTTATATTAAGCTGGCATGTTTTGTGTTGGGACATACCAACTGAAGAATGCATTAAAAACTTCAGTTAAAACCATCCATCTTATAAACACACACATACATACACACATAAAAAGTATAGCGCCATTATTGCAAAAAGATGTTTTATAACTTTTCTTGTTCCGTGTGGTATTAGCAAATACAGTATATGCAAGGCCATATCTGATCATACAGGCAGGTATACAAGTAGGAGTTGCATTATTAAACTTAGGACTATAAAGACAATAATGTAGAAGTGCTGCTGGCGGTATAAATGTTCATGGCTTCCTTTGAATCTGCTCCAGTGGTAGTTGAAGTTGCGTGGGGTACCTCAGGCGGTGCAGGTCGTCCTCTACCTGAAAGAATCCCAGCGCGCAGAGAGGTTATGATTCGTGTTCGGATATGTGAGATGAAACCTGCTCCGTGAGTCCACAAACCTGCGCCAGCTCCTCTCTCAGGCTGTTGTATCTTGTTACGTTGAATTGTACCTTCGAAGCTCCTTTGTAGAAGTATTTCAGGAACTGTCTGTCCTTGGCCTCTGTGTAAAGATAGTCCTGGAACCCAAAATAATCCTCTATTAGGGTATCGGAACGACCTCCGTACCAACACTGGCATGAAAAACGGAAAGAGAATCTTTTGTTTTTGTATACTTCTAAACTAAAACTGGGGTACCTCTTTATTTTTACTTTATAAGAAACACATTATGCCATCTTAATCTAATTAGAAAACATTTAGTCTTTGGCATACATAAGAAGAAAGAGCCTTGTGAGTCACTATTTGATGCTTTGGGCTGAGAGCTGAGAAGAGAACTAACAAGGCCGTGCCCTGCTTAGCTTCTGAGGTCTGCTGGGATCAGGCTTTTTACAGCTTGATGGATGTAAATTTCTCCATTGTAAGTTTATCTTATCTTATTTTTATAACAGTAACATTTTGATGTGGTTTTAAAATAAGGTATCCTAGCTTTATTTACAGAAACTGGACATGGGAGCCACATTTTTTTAAATCAATATTTATTTCAATTCTCTCTCTGGATGGAACCAAAAAGCTGAATTAGTTTGTTTGGGGATATCCAGTTCTGGTCCCTGTCTGAAACCCATGATGTGTGTGTGTGCTCTACTCTACAATAAGAATCAGTTTTGCTTCAATCCAATCATAATCTAACTAATTTTTCTTCAGAATATATATATAATATAAGACGATAGAATTTCCAAACTCATGTTAAATAAACGTAAATCTTTTTTTTTCCAATATGCCTTGAAAGTATAATCAAGAAAACTTTAATCACATTTGAAAAGATGAGCTATAAACCTGCACACGTCAGTATAAAAGTATAGTCCAGACCAGATCACATTTATACAATTCTGACCAAAAATAGTTTGACAGCCCTGTTATAGGGAAAACAGTCTGCTCTGTTGTGATGCAAGAGGACGGTAAAGTCCCCCGTGTGTGAGGAGAGTGCCCGTTTCACACCACAAAATGAGTTTGTGTGACTTTTCTCTCGGGTCAGGGTGTCAAGTGCTCTTCTTGTTTGAGTGACATGTGGGTGGAGTCAACACTGTGATTATAACCACCTCATGGAGATAATATGCTCAATTCAAAATAAAGTAATTATAAATGCCCTCTTTGGAGTGTCATTTTCACTCATAAAAATACATATTAATATGAATCAACAACTGCTCAAACATTTTTGAATGTTGTTTATGCAAGTATTCTCTTAGCTTTAGTACTTTTTTGGTCATTTTGACAAACCTAATTTTTCTGTACAGTTTATAGAAGGGATGAGACTTGCCTGTTTGGTGAGCACAAAGTATGAGAATGCTCCAATACTGGTGGCATAGGTGATGAAATATGTGACGGGCTCCATGACGTCCCAGGAGTACACCCACCAGGTAAGCCAGGCCAGAGCCCCTCCCTGAACTGACAGCAAGGCCATCCCCGTCCACAGAGCCCTGGAGGTGTGGAACTCTGCTTTACGGGTTAGGTTGGCCTTCATCTGGAAAGAACAGGGGAACACATGAGCCAAGCAGTTGGACAAGTGCAATCTCATCAGTTCATTTCACTGGAGGAATTGCCAAAAATACAGTACTTTCTGAATTATTAAGCGCACCTGTAGATTTATACATATGTGTACCAGCAAAGATTTAAAAGAAAGTAAACTCTTCTACTCATTCACCAGTCTATTTTGACAATAAACAAGTGTCCTATAGAAACTAAAACTTGATGGAGTCAAAATAATAACTGCTCTGTATAAGCCGCTGGGTTACAAGAACTAAAAAAAAGTAGCGGCGTAGTCTGGCAGTTACTGTAATTTGGAGGCAAAGCTTTTGTTTGAAAGGGAAGAGCATGTAAGCATCGAGCATGGAGGATTTAGATAGTAAGGGCAGGAGGACTTACATTTCATATATATATTAGGGCTGTCAAACGATTACATTTTAAAATCATGTTAATTACAGCTTAAAAATTAATTGTAATTAATCGCATTTTGAATTATTGACAAAATGATGCCATATTTTCCTGTAAATGGTTGTTTGAATGGAAATATATATATAACTACATACAGTATGTACTGTATTTGTTTATTATAACAATAAATCCATTTGCCCCGCGGTCACGCGCCTTTTCTTTCTAAACTTGAATTCCCAGAGACCTGCTCTGTTGCCATCTCACACACGCATGTGTACGCGGCATTCTGAGTGTTATAATGGGATTCATGGGCGGGCATTCGGACATGCGTCAATGTGTTAATTTTTTAAAAACGCGGTTCATGGAAAAAATGTACGTGCATTAACGCGATAATTTTGACATATATATATATATATATATATATATATATATATATATATATATATATATAAAAATATATATGTTCTATTAAAATTACACTATTGAGCCATTTATTGGTTAGTGGTGTTATTGAATCATATCTATCCATCAGTTTTCTTCCCTTTAATCCATTTCTGGGTCAAGGTTTGTTTTTGATGAGGGAGCAATTTTGTAACAAGCCATCTTCTCTCTATCAAATACAAGACCATTGAATACAGCTTCAGTCCTGGATCAACTGCCTGAGTTATGGATCTCCAGCCCGAGTCTTGGATCTACAGCCTCAGTCCTGGATCTACAGCCCAATTCCTGGATAAGTACTCTGAGACGACTTAGATTGTGATTAAGGGCTATACACAAATACATTAAATTGAATAGTTTAAAGTCTAGGGCAAACCTTCTCGAGCGGGGACAGCTCTTGTTTGAGTGAATCCAGTTTCTCCAGGAGCTTCCGTTCCTTGATTTGGTGATGCTCAGGTGTATTCAGGGCAGCGTGGAGTAAGTGCACCACATGTTTCATGTCCTCCATCTGGACGGCGTGCTCACTGGAGACATTCACTGCAGAACAAATGCAGAGTCACACTGGGGCCACACGGTGCCCCAACAGAGCTGCGTCGGAGCTTACCCTTCTCAGGAGGGCACACATCATGCACGCTATCATTGAGCAGCAGCTTGAAGTCCTTGTCAAGCAATGTTTCTAAAAGTGTGCTGTTTGAAAGCCGCTCTCCATCTGGAACACAACATTACATTTGGAATGACATTTGCTTTGTTATCATTCTGTTCTCATTCTCCTGGAGTGGCCCCTGAAGACACCACGGAGATTCATTCAGCATATAGTTTGGCACAATTTACAACACTTTTGTAAATTGTGAATGATTTAATGATTAAATAACTACATTATTTTAAATAACTTCTCAAAACCCACTTGTTTCATCTTGCCTTTCCTTAATTTTGTTCTTCAATGTTATATAATTTCAATGTTTTGTAAAGTGTCTGCGTGTCCAAAGAGGCGCAATATAAGTTTGATGTATTATTTTTATTATTATTAAATCTACTCCCATGTTCAGTGCTGTCTGTCTTCAACAGTTTTTTTTCTAAATTTGACTTGGAACAGAATCTTATTTGAGCGTGACCATTATTTTTTCTTTGTCACACAGTCAACAATGTAATGGATTCAGTTTGGATGAGAAGAACCATTATAATCAGTGATAGTATCTACGGACTTGAACTAAAGTGTGCACTTTTCATTCCACGGCACAATATATTTACAGAGATATGATTAGTGCATCACACACTGGAACTTCTCATCTAAATGTTAATCAGGAATACAAACGCATGATGTACCTTTTGCATATTATGGTTTAATTGCACTGGATATTAAAGTGGATATTATGAAGCTTATAAGAAGACTCATCAAGGGTTAATGGTTTGTGAAATTATATTATTTTGTGTTTTCTAGGCAAGGAGCCAGTTACCCAAGTCCACACCCGCACGCACTTGCCAAACCAGAAATGACAAGACGGCTGTCAGAATTGTGAGGAATGTTTAAGTGAGCCATTTTTAATGGAATCCCGTTTCCGCCATGTAAAAAAAAAAAAAAATGCCTACAGAAAGTCATAATTTCGAGTTTTAAACTTGAAATTATGACTTTAAAACTCGAAGTTACGAGTTTTAAACTGCACATGTGCAGTTGCTGCCCCGTCTGTGTATCCTTTACCTGCAGGTTATGTTGAAGATATTGCCTACGGTGACCACTGCATCCATGAAGTAGCAGCAATAATGTTGGGGCTGTAATCGCGTTAAAATGCAAACGGTCTTTCCGTTTATGATTAGAATCTGCTCATGGAGCCTCTATTTAATTTATCCTGAACGGACTGTGGAAGCTTAATAATAAAACACATGCGGCTGAACGCTGAAGTGGTCTCATTCATTGAGCATCAACTGGTGGCTATCGATGGATGCACCAGAAATGCAGTGAATAATATTGTGACTGACAGAGAGACCGTTCGCGATTACTGGACAGTGAGGGAGGTCCGCAGACAAAGGCAGGTGAACCACAGTTGCAGGCCGTGACAATATTAAACCTTTAGGAATTGCGATCAATGCATTGACTCACTCCAGAGCGCGCTCACGTTTTGGCCGCGTGCACGCACACACTCACGTCACGTCACATACTCTTCAATGCACTGATCGCAATTCCAGAAGGTTTAATATTGTGCCCCAACATTATTGCTGCTACTTCATGGATGCAGTGGTCATTGTCTGTAGGCAATAGCAAGGATGTCCAGACACCGTTCCAGACAACACATACCGGGCAGCAACTGCACCTGCGCAGTTCAAAACTCGTAATTTCGAGTTTAATACTCAAAATTATGAGTTTCTGTAGGCTTTTTTTTTTTTCATGGCGGAAACGGTATTCCATAATTTTCACATATGCAGTGTCAGTATATAATTTTGAGTGGCTGACACGATTGTCAATGGCACATTTATTTGCATAGCACATTTACAAAGTGCCTCACATGCACCAAAGGCAAAAAAAGAACACAGCATGAACTACACACAAATACATGTTTTTGAACATATTTTTTAACTAATTGTTACTGGTTGTGTGAATCCAATTATTATCGTTTGATTTAGATCTGAATCAAACATGGCGTGGTCTAAAAAAAGGCGCAAAGCTGTAAACAATGCAACAAATGGTTAAAAGTTTAATGCAAGTGGTAGAGCAAGTAGTAACCATTATTAAGATGAGGATGAGTCTCCAAAATATGAATTAATATAGGTATCATTCATTCATTCAAAACAGAGGAAGCAAATAATAGTGCGTACATTTAGAGAGCACAGAGGCGGTCACCCCAGGGTCCTCCTTCTGCAGGTCACTGATCAGGTCGCCCACGTTCATCAACATGGGCCGCAAGAAAAACACACACTTCTCATTACGGGAGGGCAACGGCACCTCCAGAACCAGCCGGTCATATTTGTATTTCAGGGAGACTTCTGCAACAGAGAGCAAAGGTGTACTATAGGTAGTAAAAAAATAAATAAATAAGTGCACCTTTTTCTGCATATGCTCTTAACATACTCAAGCCTAACCTTTGACGGGGCAACACCTGCAAAATACCGGTTAAACCTTAGAGAGAAAAAGTTCCTGGTAGCTGAAACGCATTATGTAGATCTACAGGTGAAAGACGCATAGACTTTTGGTTGGAATTAAAACCTGCAGCCACAAAGGGCCTTTCTAAAACCAGTTTGACACCCCTGTCTTACGTGGATAGTATGATGTTAACCACCTATGCTACTCTGGTCTTCAACCCAAGGTAAAGATTTGTTGTTGTCATCATAATCAGCACATAAATCATGTGACTTTTCCACTTCAACATTTCAAAAGTCCATGGGTTCCTCTCTGTCAAAGATGCTGAAATACTTGTACATGCACTGGAGACAAGTAGATCATTGTGATGCCTTCTCAGGTCTTCTACTTAAATCATTCAGTGTCTGCAACTTATCCAAAAGCATCTCATATTACATCTGTTCTAAGGATCTGCTCTCGCTCCTAGTTCAGGCCTGGATTTACTTCAACAACCATCAGCTTGATTCTAAAGTCTAACATGTCTTACATTTCTGATTCCCCTGTGCCTTATTGACGTATGTGCAGTCTCAGAGCCTAAGACCACAACTTTCCCCAGGTGCTCCTTGTAAATGGAACACTGCCCAATGATATCAAATGTGCTCCGACCCAGGGCTCATTCAAGAGTGAACTAAAAACTCTCCGTTATGATCCCTTTACTGCCCTTCTGTGATGTATTTAATTACAGTTACACATTTTTCTGTATAGTTGTTTCCTGTACAACATGTGCTATATAAATGAAATGTATTCGATTATAGTTAAACATATTCTAGAAAGAGAAATTATCTGACTTCCTGGGGAAATTCAGGCGAATCCCCAACAGGCCAAGTCACCGTCCTCACGAGCAGGAAGGAAACATGTTTTTCTTTTTAGTCATATACAAGATTTTCTTTTTAGTCATATAAAAAACCTGTACCTGAATGAAAACGTATGAAGTATTATGCATTTAATACTATATTGCGGAACGATTCTGGTACAAATTTGAAAGTCTGAGACAACAACAAAAAAGTGATCACCAGCTGCTCAAATAATGGATGATACTGGATGTAGTAACAACATATTACCACTTGAGGGCACGGCTGCACTGCAGAAGAAAGCATTGGGATGTCTCTGGAAGGCCCTTCTATGGTGAACCTGTGAAGGAAACAGATACTGTATGAGCAGGAAAGTACAAAGACTTTAATAAGTGTGTGTTGTCATGGCCCAAACTGCCGCCCTCAGTAAACACTGAGGTTGTCTGAGTAAACTCTCAGAGAAGGATCCGGGAGGAGTGTGGCGTGGTGTGTCTCTATACTACTGCTGTTCTGTAATAATGAGCAACGGCAACTACAGAGGCACAGAGTCTTGTGTTTGTTCATACACTGCATGTTCCACTGGGGCCCTACTCACTACGTTGGATTGTTACATTTCTATTGTGATTGGTATTTCCGGTTTAACAGGATTGTCATTGGTCTTAGGAGACTGTTGTAGTTCAGTCTCTAACTATAGGCCTGTATTTAGTGTTTATGTGCACCAACCTAGCAGAGCCACATGTAGGGTGACTTCCTGATTAAGTGCATGAACATATTTTGGCTCCTGATTAAACATTTTCAGGCAGTGAGTGCTGTAATGACAAAAAATACAAATGGGAAACCAATATATAAAATACTAAAACATGGTTTAAGCATAGTGGGTGAATTGTTAATAAATGGTTTTATGGCAGGAAGGTTTTTGGGACATGTTTGAAGTTAAGATGCAGTTTGTTAGTGAGTATAGTTATTAGACAGTGATTGACCATCTCCTTTGATGTGACTGTTTCTCTTATGTGGATGATGTGATCTTCGAAGAGGACAATGTTTTGTTCCTGCCTCATCTGCCCCCGTCCTCTCAACCCCCTTACCCCCCCTTGTTTCTCTGCTCTTCCTACCTTGAGTAGTAATCAGTGTAAGTAAGTAAGTAATCTTTATTTATATACCGCCTTTTCACTGCAGATCTGAGTCTCAAAGCGGTTTACAATTGTTAATTTTGGGCAATTGTCTTTCACTCCACACAAAGATGGGAGCGGGGTCGCCAGTACAGGAAGCACATGCCAGAACTATTGTACATATTTTTAGTGGTAGGGGAAACCGGAGTACCCGGAGGAAACCTACGCAGACACGGGGAGAACATGCAAACTCCACTCAGAAAGGCCCTGGTCCGACCGGGATTCGAACCCAGGACCTTCTTGCTGAGAAGCGAGAGTGCTATCCACTCAGCCACCGTGCCGCCCGTGTAGCGGTGTGACACGTGTTTTTTCCTGTGGCAATTGGCCAATGAGGGACCTGACCATTCTGGTAAAGCTTGTGTGAATCCCGTTGTGCAGCGTCCAAGGAGCGGACTGCAGAATCCTTCCCCATTTGCAAATGCTTGTTCTTATCATGTACTTTTTACTTTCATTAAACCACACAAAAAGCAACCCTGGTTACAACAGTGCTCAAGTCTGCATCAAGGCGCCAATGTAAAGTTTCTTTTTCACCACTTACTGCTGGTTTCAGGCTAATGGATTATCAGGCCCTCAAGGGATTGTGCAGAGCGTTTTGCATTTACCATTTCATAAATAATATTCCATACAACTAGATGTGAAACCATTGAAATTATTTTATCAAAGAAATCTTTGATTACAATATTATAATTTTGTTCAAAAGTTCATTTATTACTGTAATACAACATAAAATGGGAAATCATCAATATATAATAGTCTTATAAGCAAAGTGATAAGTCCAAACTTTGTTATAATTGTGAGGATAATGCCTTACAGTCCAAATATTCAATCTTTTATTTGTTTTTTTTTACAATCTGTGCGTCAGTAATTATGACCATTATAACAAATGAAGGCTTGAATTATCTCTTTGTGAGTCTAATGTTTGTTTCACAAGTAAAATGTAAATGGAATTTACACTACAATATTCTAATTTTCCGAGATTTACCTGTACAGAAAATCCCTAAAAGAAACCCCCAACATAGCTCCGTTATGGTTCCACATAGAACTGCAATTCTATCTAAATCTGCTGACGGAATCTCTACGATTACCTCTTCACCATCAACGTCGTACAATATGTATGTCATTATTTATTAATGTATTTATAACATTCTAAACATAAAATTGCACCTCGTCTCATTCTGCCTTTTCAATTGTCACATATAAACAAATAATTTGATTTGTTTTATTAAACCAAACAGATTCCCACTCTCCTTGTATGTGACAAGCTGTATACAGGTGAACATTACGATAGAAGAGACCAGATCTTTTCCAGAACCAGACCAAATCCACGCCAGGCCAAGTCAGACCTTGGCTCAAAATTGGCCTCATCAAGTACAAGCTTGTGTAAATGCTACAGCAGAGACAGTGGAGTTCTTTCTTTTGAAAATCTTCTACACAAAGTACTATTCACACAACAGTGATCAGACTTTATGAGCCACACGACGGCACAAGCTTTTGTTCTTCATTAAAACCGAATGGAGTGGCTGCTGACGGCGACACATAATGCAAATATATAACAAGGGAGCACTTTTTACAAGGCCATTAAACACACCATACACCAACTATTACCTGGTCCTGATATTACTCAGACCAGTGGAGCCAAACTAATGTCGAAAATATATAGTGTACGCATATGGGTGTGTAGGTATGTGTGCGTGGGTATGTGTGTCTGTGTGTCATCAGTGACCGGCTGCTGAGTGACTGCAGGCCCTTCATATGCCCAGCTCTAAATCAACATGACGTGCCCAGCGTGGCGGAGAGAGCAGCCCTGATGAATGGGACTCATTTCCACTACCGCCTTCATAACCCTCTTCATCTACAGTCCAAGGCACAATATGTAGTATTCTGCTGTACACTAGCAGAAGCACCAGAGGAGAAACACTTTATTGTCAATTGTATAACACAACAATAACAAGAACCCGTTTGCCCAGACACCTCTTTGCTCACAACCAAACACTGAAAAAAAAATCGTTCTCAATAACAAACTATTCAACAATATTTTCTCCAATATTTCTCCAATATTTTTACCAACTCATTTGGTACAGTGCCATGCGAAAGTATTCGGCTCCCTTGAACCTTTCAACATTTTGCCACATTTCAGGCTTCAAACATAAAGATATAAAAATTTTATTTTTTGTCATGAATCAACAACAAGTGGGACACAATCGTGAAGTGGAACAAAATTTATTGGATAATTTAAACTTTTTTAACAAATATAAAACTGAAAAGTGTCCTAAAATGCATTATTAATGTTAATGGTTACTTCCGGGTTTACCATAGTCGCATTTTGTCGCATTAAAACAGTATTTTTGTCATGAAAACTTTAATAGATAATTCTGAAAACCTCTGTGCAAGTGTATTAAGAATGTATATGTATAATGTATTCTCTGATTAACATTTAAATGTGTTTATTGTTACACCATGGATCTATGTGTGGCTACACTGCAGTGGAAAAAATGAAATTACATTCAAATAAATGGAGCTTTCTGCATCTACTGTGAGGAGCCGTATATTTTATTAATAAATACTAGTACGGGGCACCCTGCCTCGAGCACGGCTCAGTCGTTCACACGTCTGCTGCCCTTCGCCAGGCATGGCAAGTCAGATAGCCTGTGAGCCGGTGAGGTCCGGTGCGAGAGCAACCCCACGTTGCAGTCAGACAGTGATAAGTCTATATTTTCCTTAAACTTCTGATTGTTTCTGAATAACAGTAAATCCACCACCAAATTAATTTTACTTAACAAAAATGAAATGATCTGAGCATATTCGGGCGCTCTGGGGGTTGTTAGTTTTTTGTTGATGTGCCGTTGTGCCTTGGAGATTTCTTCTGTTCTGGAGCCATGTGAAGTAAGGACGGCTGGCAGTCGGCAAAACAACTTATTGTCCCGGTCTCCCCTATGGCTGCAGCCAAAAACTGCACAACATTTTACCATGTTTACGCGGTGCCGGGTGCACGCCACTACCACACTGCGTTTGCTTGTCCTCCAATATGGCGGACGGCTCGCGACTTCAAGCTCTTGTGACGTCACACGACAAATCTCTATACTAGTCAAAATGACTTTGAGACTGGCCTGCTGACTTCCACCATCATCACAAAAGGCTGCTAAGATAATTATTATTATAGTTTTACCAATATGTTTAACACTGCTACGTAAAGCTTTGTATGAGTAAGAAGTGTATTATTAAATGCATTGTGACTCTGCTCTATATAAATAAAGATTATTTACCTTACTAAGTTACTGTTAATGCTGATTTTAAACTACAGTCAAAACCTGGACCAAATCACACACACAAACAGACATAGTTAACGCATTCTATTTACTTGATTGCCATTTCCAAGGAGAAGTGTGTCCTCACGGAGGCAGAGCACAGATCTGACTTGGAACAGATCGTAACTTCCTCTTGATCGCCAAGACACACCTTCATATGCAGATAGGAATGGAAGAACCAACAGAACAAAGGGACAATGACAAGACCAAGACAAGACCTCCTGAATAACCCTCCTGTTTAGATGTAAATAGTAATAGTAGTAGTAGTAAAATAGATGAACATACAAAACCATCTTCGTCCAGACATTCTGGCGCCAAAGGTGAATTACAATACAGCCATTTCAGAATGAAATATATTTCAGCCACATATGACTCATTAAAATTATAACTCAATTACAGTTATCAGCCAGAACGGTCTCATTACATCGAGTAAAAGGCCCGACATCAGGAGGATATTGCCTGAGAGTTTGCAGATATGATACACATGATCTACAGGGCACTTTCAATTCAATACCATTCCATTTATTTCCAATGGATTTGATACGATTCAGTTCTAGGTAAAGGATTTCGGGCCCCTTTACAGTAATGCCACTTTCATTTTAATCAAAGATTGATATTTTAAAAACTTAGTCAATATGAAAAAAAATAATATATATTAAAAAAATGTATGCGCTGTGTGCAAAAGTTATCAATTTTCATGATTTTCTTTTATAATTCATTGGTTGTTTGATAAGAGATTGCAGTTAAATATATCATTTAAGGGACACATACTTAAACCAAAATAGGCGTGCATACATTTAGAAACAGCCACTTAAGGCTTTCTTTTAACTGACAATTAGAGTCCGGATTCTGATGGAAGGTATTTTGGACCATTCTTCTTTGTAGATCAACTCTCGTTCAGTCAGGTTTGATACGTTTCCAAGCATGGACAGCCCATTTTCAATCACACCACAACATTTTCAATACTATTCAGGTCTGGGGACTGAGATGGTCATCCAGACCATTGTACAGAACATTGTACAATCTTCTGCGCCATGAATGCCTTTGTATATTTTTATTTAGGGTCATAGTCTTGTAGAAATATCCAGAGGATTCATGGTCCAAACCAAGTGGATCAGCCAAAAATCCACTGAATGAATGCTAACTTTTAGAAAAATGCCAAAGAAGCATTTGAACTTGGACTAGAGCAAAGAAAAGGGTCCGAACAAAGCGGCTACACCTCTGCTGCTGTGACCTCTCCTGCTCCACCCAGCGGCTACTCCACCTCTGCTGCTGTGACCTCTACTGCTCCACCCAGCGGCTACTCCACCTCTGCTGCTGTGACCTCTCCTGCTCCACCCAGCGGCTACTCCACCTCTGCTGCTGTGACCTCTACTGCTCCACCCAGCGGCTACTACACCTCTGCTGCTGTGACCTGTGTTTTTGCTGCTACTGGAGACCTGAATTTATCTTACGGGGATAAATAAAGTATATCTATTGATCTACAAATATTATGATTATATTTTAACATTTTTGTTTAGCATATTCCATGATTGTAATACGCTGTTGTTATTTCACTACCATTTGATGTGCTTGAATGCAAATCAATAGTCTTCCAACAAACAGAAGGAACTGCCCCCTCCTTTGCCTTCTGCCATCTGATCACTATTCCAACAGCATAGAACCGGTCACTGTCTATGCACCCTTCGCACACGTACAGAGATACTTCAGATCTATGGGGAATGATTGTACTCCATGTCTCCCACATAATCACTGCTTTTTGCCTTGGCACATTTACCACTTTAACTGTAAATGCTGGTTATTTATGCCCATGGGAAGGTGGGAACGACAGTAAAGGCGGTGACATTCTGCCCTCCTCCCACCCCTTTGCTCTGCGGTGAAAAATCAGTCAGGATCTGCTCTCTCCTCCAGCCGGTCACTCATTAGAGGCTGCTGTCAGAGTTGAGCTATGTCCCGGTCCTCTCCCTGCACGTGCCTTCAGAGTATTCCCCGGTAAAAAGGGTCTCGATATAAACCGGGGATGGCTTGTCTGCGTGCATACAAAAAGACGGGAGAGAGAAACAACCCACGGCTATGGTAAAAAATGAATGAAGACAACAGAAGAAATTGGATTAAGTATGAAGCTGCTGACATTGCCCTTGGAAGTCTTATAATAAGGCTTGATGCATCGTAAAAACGTGTAATGGGCTGGAGTAGTGGTTCAAGTCGGCTCTATGTCAGAAGTGTCATTCATGAACGTAAAGTGTGGCAAACTACAAGAGGTATAACAGATTCAAACATTCAACATTTTTACAATTTTT